CTTTATCGGTCATAGCATTTGTAGCTGAGGTCACATATTTTATTGCAAAAAACAAAAAATAAATAAGTTTAAACAAAAAGTTTTATTCTTTTTTGTCATTTTGTAAAAACAAACTAATACTTCATTGGTCACCATAGTGTCATCTTTGAGTTGAAACTATTTTATTCTGAGGAAAATAACATTCTGCTGCAGTAGGGACAATGGTTATAATGTTAAAAAAGCATAATCCACAAAAATAATAATAAGATGCAAAATAATAACATTAAAAATAATAGATATAAGTCCCTAAGGGGCAACTGATAGGTGCAGTTGGAGGGGTTTTACGATTCCCAAGTTTCTTGAGTACAGTACACCACCTACAGATACACACACAACAGTCCACTAAATCATTTACACTGACACTAAGGACATATACAGTACACACCCAAGGGGTACTATCCCTAGGATGACCTGGCAGCAGGTATAAAATGCATTTACCCAACAAACGGTGCGAACTAGGAGAAAAATAGCCTCGAACGAATCTGAAGTGAGGCTGCTTCAGAGGAATTGGATATTCAGCCTTTCACATCTGCAGGTGGTGCGAGCAGTGCCTCGGTGTCATATGTTCCCATAAGACCGGCTATCATAGCACTTTCATCATTAAACTCTGAACCGTGCTTGGACACCATTGAGTTTCTCGCATGAGGAAGAAGAATCATTGGCCAAATAGTTAAGCAATGAAGGATGAAGTGGTACCGCAATATGAATATTGCTGCAATTCGAGCATACTTATTGGCTACAAACTTAGAGAAAGAAAAAACAGAATATCGCAAAAGAATCAACCATCACTGGAATGAAAAATATGTGCAAATAGCTGTATCATCCCAAAGACTCGCTAACCAGGTCAAGCAAATATTGGAACGCCAGTTTATCGCTGTAATCAGGAATAAGTTGACAGATTACATTGAGGAAAAGGTTATTATGACAACGGAACAGGTAGGTATTAAGTATTAAGGCAGATTCAAAAGGTTGCAAAGAACTTCTGATTATTGATTCTTTTATTTCTCCTCAAGTTACAAAAAGATCTCGTAATATTACATTGCCTCGGATTGACTACCGTAGAGCATTCGATTCGGTTCCCCATGGTTGAAAAAGCTTCTGGAAGTGTTGCAAATCTATGAAGTAAACCAGGCAATAATAGATCTATTCGATCTATCTATCGATGAATGACTGATGAAAATTTGGATAGTCTCAATCAGCACAATAACTTTGAACGGAATAAGTGCCAATGAATACATATCTATAAAGAGAGGTATTTTTCAAGGGGATTTCTTGATTCCTCTATGGTTTTGTTCGGTTCTTTATCCACTTGGCAAATTATTGGGAGATATAGGAAAAGAGGATACCTACTTAACTCTGAAATGAAGCTCTCTTATTCATTCTATATGGATGACCTCAAGCTTTACGCTAGGAATGAATATGAAATGGGAGCTCTTCTGAAGACAGTAAGAACGTTCAGTAATGACATAAAAATGGATCTGGGAATAGAAAAATGTGCAATAGTAAACGTTAAAAGAGGAAGAATTATTAAGGGGAGTAATATTGAGATATCAGAAAACGTAATAATGAATCAGTTGAGAGAATCTGATTCTTAAAGATACCTTGGAGTACACCAATTTCTGAAATTCAATGCTAATTCAAGGAAAAACTTTGAGGAAGAATTTAAGTACCTTGTTAAATTAGTACTTAAATTACATTTAAATGGAAGAAATTTGATAAGGGCAATGAATACCTGCTTTAGCCTACTCATTTGGAGTACTGAAGTGGTCAAAAACCGATTTAGAAAGGTTGGATCGTTTTCTCAGAGCCCAGATGGTGCTTTCAAGAAAGAGGCATCCAAATTCGTTCTGCAGTGAGATTGTATCTTCCTAGGAAGATGAGAGGGCGTGTTCTGATCAGCCTCTTGAATTTATGCTGAAAGGAAGAAAGTAATCTTCACAACTAAATCATAAACTATACCTCCAATATCCTTTCAATTATTGCATCATTAGATATAAATTATACAACTTTAAATTTATGAAGCTCTGGGATCCCGGTTAGTGAAGCAGATGATGGCACTCAATCAGAAATATGGAAAAATAAACCTTTACATGGAAGATTTTATCACTCATTAATGGGTGTAGGCGTGGACACTGAGGCGTCGTTGACATGACTGAAAAGTGGCAGTATCTTTCTAGAAACAAAAGGATTTTTCTTTGCTATTCAAGAACTGGTAATAGTCACAAAAGCATACAGAAGACATATATGTGGAGAGGGCATCGATGACTTATGACGCTTATGCAAAAAGGCAGTTGAATCAATTCAACATGTAACATCAGGATGTACAATACTTTAGGGTAAGGAATACTCGCCGAGACACAACAATGCAGCTAAGGTAGTGTATCAAGCTAAGGCTCAAGAAATGGAACTCATGGATAAATATCATCCGTATTATAAATATCATCCAAAACCAATCATCTCCATGTGCAACATCAAGGTGTTCTGGGATCAACCAATCCTGACAGATCACACCATTCACCACAATAAGTCTGGCATTCTAATAATTGATAAAGGTATGCAATCTGAATTTATCATAGAGATTGGCATTCCTTCTGACGATTACCTACATAAGGTAATAGCAAAAAAAAAAAAAGAGAAAGTACGTAAAATTAGCTGAAGAGATAAAACAATTGTATCATTTAAAGGAAACCCGAATTCTGTCAATTGTGATCTCATGCAACTGACTGATACCAGAAGAAACTCTTATCTTCTCTGCAGCAACTAGACCTATCATCTCGGACGATCGAAAGTGTGCAACAAGAGGTGTTGTTGGGAACAGCAAGTATAGTCTGGAAGTTCACAAATATTAAAGAATTATGAAAATATATAAATGTCATTTTTGGCTGACCTAATAGATCCCCAACTATTACATATTATAAACACCATTGTATATGTGAAAAATAAAAAAATAAAAATAAAATAAACTTAAAGATAACTAAATTAAAATAACATCTTAAACAGGCTGACCTATAAAACTATTTGCAATCTGCCAAGAAAACTCCAAACTTGGTTTGTTGCTCTAAATGTAGAGAAAAAAGTTGGTGTCCAGGTGATCCCACCAAAATAATAATATTGAAAACAATAAAAATAAAATAAACATCAAGATAAGTGGATTCGGTTGGGACTGGAGTTTATCATGAAAGGATAGATATCTGGCTCGGACTAAATCAGCAGCATATGGAACATTAAGGTCTTTATGAATGGTTTTATTTGTGACAAAATATGGAGCATTAAGGATTTTGGAATGTAAGGATTGGATACGATAGGAATTTGATGGTTTGATAGAGCCCCAAAGCTCAACTCCATATGTTCATATAGGTCTTATTATGGTTAAGTAGATGAGTCTTTTGTAATTAATTGAAAGTTTATAGCGTTTGTCTAGTAAGTGTTGGAGCAGTCGAAAATGTCGAGCAGTTTCTTGTCGTTTTAGTCTAGTATGATTCCAAGTGAGACGTTTATCCAAGTGGAGTCCTAGGTAGTGGATTTGTTTAACAGGAACAAGTGGAATATCATTGAAGGATATTGTAGGACAAGAAGTTGTAGGTTTACGACGAAGAGTAAAGGTAATTGATGGTATTAATTGGAATTTATTTTTATGCTCCAGTTATGGCACCATTCTTCAAGGTCTGTGATATATGATTAGAGGGTTTGGGATGCAATTAAAGGGTCATTATTAACAGATAGGATACAAGTGTCATCTGCATAGGTGGTGATGACCGGGTTGGAATATCAGTTGTATAAACTGTATAAAGGATAAGACCGAGGATGTTCCCCTGAGGAACACCAGCAGACTAGGAAAAGAGAGATGAACATGCATTATTAAGATTTACTTTGAAGTATCGATCAGTAAGGTATGAACGGATAATGAGGAAGTATGTAGGTGGTAGGAATTTATGGAGTTTGTACAGCAGTCCTGGGTGCCAGACTCTATCAAACGCCTGCTTAACGTTGAGAAAGACTCCTGTACAGTACATTTTGTGCTCCAATGCAGAGGAGACTATGTCTACCACACGATGACGTTGCTGGATAGTGGCATGGGATGTGTGGAATCCAAATTGGTGATCAGGGATTATATTATTAGAATCTACGGTACAGGCGTTAAAATGAGTTTTTCCAGGATTTTGTCCATGATTGGTAGAAGAGATATAGGATGGTAAGAAGATGGGTATTCAGGTGGCTTTTTGGGTTTGTGGATGATTTTGACAATTGATAGTTTCCAAGGATCAGAGAAATATGTAGATTGGAGCACAACATTTTATATATAAGTAAGGAATAGGATGGCTTTTCAATGAAGAATTTTTAAGACTTGACATGTGATAAGGTCATGTACAGGAGCTTTGCGTGAAGGTAATCTGTGAATGATGTTGGGTTTTTCTGTAGAATGAAATGCTTTAGGTGGAGGGACATTTGGAGAGGAGTAAAATAACACCTTAAATAGGCATGTCTATATACACTATTTACAATCTGCCTATATAACTCCAAACCATATGTCTTCCTCCAAACGTAGAGGTAAAAGCAGGAATCCAGGAAATCCTAGTGCTACTCTCTCATTGCATCACTGGTACTAAAAGCCAGCAAGAGTGCTAGAGCCTGATGAAAGTCATCCTCAATATATTTGGTGATACTTCAGAATACTGATCCTTGATCTACTATACACAAAAGTTAAATAGCAAATGATAAGGCATTCAGCTTATTGGTACATTTCTTTGTGATAATATTACTAGGCTTTTGACATAAGTAAGATCTCCATTAATAGACAGCACATAAAACAATTGCTTTATAAACTGCCTTAATTTAGATTTTATGTATAATATTAAATAATTATCCCTATTAACTTTTATTACTATAATTGTTAGATGGAATCATATGAAATTTAACATTTCAAATGTTTTTATTTTATTCCATTACTATTTTTGTTGTAGGTTCAGGTTTAGCTCAGTTTATGAAATAAGACAGATACTAAGGAAAAATAATTTTAAACTTTATGTGTCATACGAAGAATTGAAAAAACTTAAGAAGTCACGAAAAACTCCTAGACATCAAAGTGAAATTATGCAAGCTATTGGTGAACCACCATCCGTATTCTTCGATGAGGTATGATGATCAGTTATTTATATATTTACCACTATTTATAATAAACTCAATGGCTGACTTACATAGGTATGATGAATTTTATAACACTTCTTTGTAATATTTTGATCTGATGTTCTATATATTTCTTTTTCTTTTCTTACTACTTAAAATGTATGTGTAAATAAAATCTTATACGGTTCTGAGATTTATTCAGGGTAAGATTTATATATGAGATTTATATCACCTGTACGACTACAACCCATGAAGAGTCTTGGGTTCACTACTATTTAGAGAAAATACTGTTTCAAGGTCAACGGTTGTGCAGGGAGGAGATCGGGCCAGAATCATGCTCAACTGCCAGGTTTCTCTCTTTGATTAATTATTTTAATTAAGGGTATCCACTTTGTAGAGGCTAATGGTCCCCAAGAGGGTCTTCTTACCCCAGGGTCAACCCACGCCTGATGAAACAGAATAAATAATTTATCTACCATGTGCCGGGATTCGAACCTGGGACCTTGGACATTGCAAGCTCAGTGCTAAAAATCTGTATAATATATCATATGATATATTAAATATAAATATATCACGGAGGATGGAGAGAAGAATAGTTGGGGTGATCAGTCAAATAAGAAGGCAAAAATAAATTATACTATTTATTTTGACATTAGCCGACGTTTCGACCTGATGTTCAGGCCATCATCAGGGCTAAGAAAAGAACCAGATAACAAGGAATGAGAAACATAAGTAGTGTAGGAAAAAAATTAAAGTAAAATTCAGTTGTTAGAATAATGACAATAGTAAGAACAAAGAGATAAATGACAATAAGCGGTGCAAAATGTGGAATGATGAAGTAAACATAATGAAAAAAAAAAAGTGACATAAATATTAAAATGGGAATCTTAGAATAAAATGTAAAAACAGAAAATATGAAGTTATATAAGAAATGGAAATTAAGGATACCTTATTACGTCTGATGACCCCCTCAACTACATTCGGAAATCGCATACTAATGATAATGGACCTGATAACATCCCAGTCAGACTGATCAAAGCCTCACTACCATCCATCCTTCCAATCCTCAAGCATATCTACAATTATCACTACAAAGCGTTATCTTCGTTACATCCTGAAAAATCGCATTAGTTCGATCATAAAGAAGACTTCCAACCCATCAACTCTTAATGATTTCCGTCCAATTTCTGCACCCACCATAAGCAGAAAGAGATTATGGTTATATTTGTCGATATTGAAGGTGCCTTTCATCGTACCTCCTATGATACAATGGATAGAGCATTGGCTGGGAGAGGATTGGACTTTTGGCTTCGTAATGGATTAATTTGGTTATGAGGGGGAGTGTCCTTAAATCTGAGTTGGAGTGTCCATAGTGTGGGTTAAACCTGTTGAAGTGTGGCCACGGGGGGTGTGTTGTCTCCACTTTTGTGGTGTCTGGTCGTTGACTCCCTGATTGTTAAATTGAATTGGCTGGGCTTTATTCTCAGGAGTATGCTGACGATATCACTGTATTGATAGGGGGAAAATTTCCAAATACAATCTTGTAAACACGATGAGACTTCTAAAAGAATGGTGCCAGGAAAATGGGCTTGGCATAAGTCCACAGAAGATAAATCTATGTATCTTCACTAACAGAAGCAATGCCAATATTAGACCACCACCATTAAATGGGTCATCATTAACTATCTTTAATGAAGTAAAACATCTTGTAATTATTCTAGATAGTAAGTTGAACTGGCAAAGTCATATTGAAAAGATTAGTGGTAAGGCTCTACTGTCTTCGTGCTTGCAGCAGTTGTTGCAAATCGTGGGGCTGAAATGTGGCTGAAACCCACCATGACCCTGTACAGGACTGCAATTTAGACCCTCAATCCTCTATGCGGCTGTTGTGTGGTGGCATAGGGCAGCTGCAAACAAGCCTATAGTAATGCTTGGCAAACTTCAAAGGCTCGTGTGCCTTATGACTACTGGAGCTATGAGTATGACTCCCACTGCTGCAATGAAAGTTCTCTTGAACCTGACACCATTTCAGTCAGAGATGGAAGCACATGCTCTCAGAACTGCCTATAGATTGGAGAAACTGGGAACAAGATCGAAATTCCTGACGTTTCAGGGACATGGGATCGTTTTTGATAAGATTGATAGCAATGAGGGGCTCGCAATGAACTCAGAACTTCAAGTTGATAAATATAGAGATGTACTATATAATTTGATGATAGGCAGGAATAACTCTCATAGACTGTCCAATGGAGTTATACCGACGGATCCTTGATGGAGCAAGGATCAGGGGCTGGTATCTGGAGAAAGGATAAATTTAATGAGAGAATATTCATATCTCTAAGTAGACATACATCCATCTTTCAGGCCGAGATTTTAGTTATCAAGTATATCTGGGCAAGTCTTAAAGGAGCAAAAAACCAAATCGACCATGTGCTAATAGACAAGAGGCATCTCGTGGACCATGCTCTGATTAGAATCAAATTCTGTCAGAGGCTGAAGCGAATCCACCGAATTGGGGACCAACTGGAAAGAAAGAGGTACGAAGTCCGTAATTTGAAAAATCCTATAGTAGAAGTTGAATTTCAAATTGAGCAGAAAAATAAATTCGAACTCTTGAACTCAGAAGACCTCATGGTTGACCAACACTGGGAGGCACTAGAGTCAGTGCTAAAACAAACAGCTAAGGAAGTAATAGGGATTCAGGAAAAAAGAAAAGCCAAGAAATGGTTCACAATCATGGAGGCCAATTGTGCGTCGTCCTAAAACTATTAAAACAGGCCAGATGACTTTGCGAACTTCTTAATATTAATAAGATCCATTAGTTTCCAGCACTTAGGGTCAGTGAAGAGATGAGAAAATGCCTGTGTGGCCATACATTAAATTAAATATTTAAAAAATAATATCTAATTAAAAATAAAAATGTAGGAAGAAAAAAAAAACCAAAAGCATACATATACAGACTAAACATATATACACATAAATAGACTAACTATATATATATATATATATATATATATATATATATATATATATATATATGCATATATAGACTAAACAAAGAAATAAAAATAACATAAGCAAACAACATGGTTTCTGAGGATCTTAAGAAGTTCTCTTATGCACATTTCATCATCAGTCAGATTGGGAAAGGATTAGGTGCTTAATAAGGAGAGATTTAAATGAGGAAACTGTTGAGCATGTCGGATATCGGAAGGGATAGAATTCCAAAAGGAGACGGCTTGAATTGCAAAGGATTTGTCAAATGCAGCAATTCGGTGAGGATAGATGAGTATCAGGTGGGACGGGATTGAATGGAGGATTTGAATTGTAGGCTCTGAAGAATATAAGAGAGTCGCTGACTTCTAATGGCCTGGTATAGAAAGGTAGCAAGAAAGTACTGATGGCGGTAGGATGGGTAGAGCCACTTCGACTCATCGTAACACTCGGTAATATGCATATCTCTTGAGATTCCGAAAATAAAGCGTATCGAGCAATTCATTAGGCGTTTAAGTTTGGCTTTGAATTCTCTTGAGGGTCCACCGTATACCGTACAACCATAGTCGAAGTGGGGGAAAACAAGAGAGGAAACCAGGAGTTGACGGGTTTTATATGGAAGTAGATAGTGTTGACAGTTGAACTGTTTTATGGTAGAAATGGTATGATGGGAAATTCGGGAGATGCGTGGTTTCCAGGAGAGGATTAGATAAAAAATAACACCAAGGTTTTTAACGGAAGTTTGGAATGAAACAGGTGAGTTGTTTAGGAGAAGATTGGGAGGTACAGGATTGGATTTTATGAGTGTGGGGGATCCGACAAGGATAGCTTTTGTCTTCTCAGTGAGCCTATTGCGGTTTGCTCTAGCACAGATTCTGTCCATATCTTTCTGAAGCTGTGGGATTGCTGCAGTGGAATCAGCCGGATCGAAGGAAAGGTAAATTTGGTCGTCATTGGCATACAGGTGGTATTGACAGTGCCGGATAGAGGATGGAAGATCATTGATATAGATGAAAAAAAGGGTAGGAGATAAGGAGGACCCCTGGGGAATGCCTCTGGACAAGGATAGAGACTCTGATGGGAGATTATTAGGGACTACAACATACTGGGAGCTACCTGTGAGGAAGGATTGGAACCATTTAAGGACACTAGAAGACAAGGAGATATTTTTAAGTTTGGTAAGGAGTGTATTGTGATCTACTGAGTAAATTCTTTGGAAAAATCAAGGAGACTAAGGATGGTGAGTTTCTGTTGGTCTATAGCTGTATGGAGATCTTAGGAGATTTTAATGAGGGAGGAATGGGTGGAGTAGTCAGGTCTAAAATCGGATTGGTGGTAGTTCAGAAGGTTATTTTGCTATAGATTGTGGGATAATTGGGATTGAACTAATCATTCTAGAGGTTTGGAAAGGTTAGATAATAGGGAAATTGGGCGGAAATCATTAAGTGTTGCAGAATGGAAGGTTTTATTCAGCAGACGAACAAGAGTAGTTTTCCAGGTGTTGGGAAAAGTGGAACTTTGCAACAAAAAGTTATAAATATGATAAAGGGAGAATGGAGGGAAGTGAGGATTTAATCAATTTAACCGGAATGTTGTCTGGTCCAAAATCATTGGTTTGGAATTTACGAATGGAATTAAGGAGGTCATCTGCAGTAAAATGAGGAAAGAAAAAATGATTGGAATTAAAGGAGGAAAGAATGGGAGTAGGAGTAAAGTATGTTAGTAAATTAAAACTGAATAAATAGGTTAAGAATATATACATGGATTAATTAATGTAAATGACATAAAATTATGTAAATAGTTGAAAAGTACAAATACAGATAAAAATGTGTCAATAGGCTAACATTAAATAAATAGATTAAAAATATTTAACAAATATAAATAAATTATAAAAGTTTTTGTTTTGTAAGTTTTTTTAAATACATACAAACAAATTTGAAATTTAAAATACATTGAATATAACTTCTTTAAATTCTTGGTGTATATATATAAACATTTTTTAAAGGTAAATTTCATTAAGAGTAAAGAGGCTATTTTGAAATATCTGGAAGCTAAGCAACAGGCACGGGAAGCTGCTATTACAGAGGTAATAAATTAAGATTTATCTTCCTATTTAATAATTATTACTTTCCTAAAACTCATATAATTCATGAAGTTTTAGATAGCTATTTTTAATTTTCATATAAAAATTTTATTTTTAAGGCAAGAAAGAATGGTACTCTACTCACTTGTGGCTGTTGTTTCTCGAATGATCTGCTTACTGAGGATGTTGTATCGTGTTCGGAAGGCCATCTCTTCTGCAAAGATTGTGTTAAGAAGTGAATATTCACATTTCATGTTTTAAATTAATTTATTTGGTTTTCTATATTTATATGAAGAAACTGATATTCATTAGTGAATATGGTTATTGATAAGATATTTTGAGAACAATTTTCAGGTTTATGTTTGGTCTGATCCAGGGGCTGAATTCGATGGAAAATAAAGACTTGAAATCCACAAACTCTGTTCTTCATTCTTTTAGAGCAGATGACCAATAGATTTCTTAGCCAGTTTTATTTCATAAAAATAATAATTTAACAGGGAATGGGCTATGAGGAAAACATTTATTGATTTCAACTTGTTTCTTGCCAAACCTTTATGAAATTCTGCTTGACCCCAGTTTGATTAAAAGATTCAAATATTTTATACTAACCTTCAAGGCTTGCAGATTTCTTTTCTCTTTCAGTCTCCAGGCATTATGATTATCTTTGATCCTTTCATGTCCTGGCAGTGTTGTTTGTTTACATGAAGCAGTTTCAGCCTAACCATAATATTATTATTGATGGGCATAATAACATTATCTCAGTGCCATCTCACTGTTTTTTTTTGTTGTTTTTTTTAGGGAGTAATAATTATGCAAAATATCACCCTAAAACCCCTACCCTATCCTACCCTGATAACCAAATAGCAATAGCTACTTATTAGTAACCCCTTCCCCTTAAAAAAAAGTACAATTACCTTTGTGAGGAACTATGTGTAGTTAAAAACCTTAAAGCAATAACCATCATAGTACCCTACAATCCAACCCATCATACTCAGTATTCAGAGTCCTGGCTCGATCTAATTATCCTGGATTCCTCAGACAAACTCCTTGCCGCATCTCAGCACCCGGTTCCATTTCTATCTTCCCACGATCTTGTCCAGATCTCTTACAATGTCCCTGTCCCATCCTTTTCTCCCCGAACAATATCCTTCCGAAACCTAGATTATCTCACTCACGAAACATTGTCAGAAGATCTTGACGATATCCAGTGGGATCCCATCTACTCATCAAAGTCCATAGACACCATGGTAGAAATCCTTACCACTCAACTTCACTCTATCCTCGACCGACATGCTCCTCTTATCACAAAAACCATCCGATATCCTCCAGCTCCTTGGCTTACTCCTGCTTTGAGGGAGTGTATGAGAGAAAGAGATGCTGCAAGGCGACAGTTTAAACGAACTCGACTTCCTGATGATTTTCTCTCCTACAAACAGCTTCGAAATAGCACTCAATCAGCAGTACGCCGTGCTAAATCCCGTTACTACCATCATTCCCTATCCAACTCTCCCAATACCAAGGCTACGTAGGCTATTCTTAGAAAACTAACCATTGGTAATGCACCCCAGTCTCAGTCCAATTCCGTTTCTGCTGATAACCTCAACGCTCACTTTGTCTCCTGTCCTCTTGCAACCACATCTCCCACGTCCAGTCTGGCTCCTATGTTCTCTTCCTTTAATCCTGATCACTTCTTTCTTTCCCATATTACACCAGATGAGCTCCTTAAATCCATTCAGTAGTCCCATACCAATGATTACGGTCCCGACAACATCCCACTCAGACTGATTAAAGCCGCATTGCCATCCATTTTTCCGATCCTTTATCATATATACAATTATTCTCTTCAAAATGCTACCTTCCCTACATCCTGGAAAACCGCCCTAGTACGCCCATTGAAGAAGACTTCAACCCCATCAGTTCCTAATGATTTCCGACCGATTTCCCTCCTTTCAAACCTCTCAAAACCATTAGAGGAGTTAGTCCAATCCCAGCTATCCCATTTTTTAGAGGACAATAATCTCCTAAATCCCTACCAGTCCGGTTTCAGGCCTGGTTATTCTACTCAGTCTGCCCTAATCAAAATTTCCCAAGACCTTCACACAGCCATAGATCAGCAGAAACTAACCATCCTTATTCTCCTAGACTTCTCCAAAGCTTTTGATTCAGTAGACCACAACATCCTCCTAACCAAACTTAAAAATATCTCTTTTTCTTCTAGTTCCCTTAATTGGTTCCAATCCTTCCTAACCGGTCGCTCCCAGTACGTTGTAATTCCTAATAACCCACCATCAGAATCTCTACCTCTGACCAGAGGCGTCCCACAAGGCTCTTCCTTATCCCCCACCCTTTTCTCCATCTATATAAATGACCTCCCATCCTCTATCCTGCACTGTCAATACCACCTGTATGCCGACGAAATTCAAATTTACCTCTCCTTTAATCCGACAGATATCTCAGATGCCACTCAAAAACTTCAGGAAGACATTGACAGAATAAGTGCTTGGGCAAACCTCAATAGGCTCACTCTGAACGCCCAGAAGACAAAAGCCATCTTGATCGGATCCCCTTCACTCCTCAAATCCTCCCCGGTATCTCCCAATCTCTTCCTGAACAACTCACCTATCTTATTCTACACCACCGTTAAAAACCTAGGTGTTACTTTCGATCAATCCCTATCCTGGAAACCTCACATCTCCCAAATTTCCCATCGCACTATCTCCACCCTAAAACAGTTCAATCGTCTACGATATCTCCTTCCATATAAGTCCCATCAACTCCTAGTTTCCTCCCTTGTTTTCCCCCACTTCGACTATGGCTGTATGGTGTACGGTGGACTCTCGGGAGATTCCGAGGCCAAACTTAAACGCCTAATGAATTGCGCACTACGATTTGTTTTCGGAATCTCAAGGGATACGCATATTACCCAGTATTACACTGAGTTGAGGTGGCTCTACCCATCCTATCGCCGTCAGTACTTCCTAGCCACCTTTCTGTACCAAATCATTAGAACCCATCGACCCTCCTATATTTTTCACAGCTTACAATTCAAATATTCCATCCAATCCCGTCCCACCAGATCTCGTACTTCCGACCTCTATCCTCCTCCTCACCGAACTGCTGCGTTTGACAAATCCTTTGCAATACAAGCCGCCTCCCTCTGGAATTCCATCCCAGCTGATATTCGACACGCTCAATCAGTTTCCTCTTTTAAACCTCTCCTCTTTAAGCACCTACTCCTTTCTCAATCCGAATGATTGTGAAATATATCTAAGAGAAATATCTGAGCACCACCAGAGACTACCTCAATTTATTAAGGTTATTTTAGTTTCTCATATATATGTACAATTTACTTGTTCTTTTCTTTCTCTTTTCTGTATTTTTATCATAAGTCAACTTTCATTGTAAATATACAATTTAATTGTAACCACACAGACATATAATCTGTATTCATATTTTGTTCTTAAGGGACAACAGTCCCAGAATAATAAAACATTTTTTTCATTTCATTTTCATTTCATGATCAGATTTCAGAATTATTTTGAAAATGGCCTACAGAAGCATGAAACACTATGTTTCAGTACTAGGTTTTCACCATTAGTATAATAGTTTTTTTATCTGATAAACTCTCTTAAATGTGATCTGATGCATACGATCAGCTCTGTAACAGTGTTAGTTTCTAATGGTTCATTTGAAGATTTGAGTAGTAAAAATCTACCACATTTTAACCAAATGATTACCAGATTTATTATTTTTAAAAACTATGTTAGTATGATTCCTGTGAGAAAAAAACGCAGTGGTTTTGGCGAGGCAGAGGAGAAACCTGTTATAGTACAGCTCAAGTCATGATAGGGGTCACCATTTGTTTTGGACAAATTCCCTAATACCTTAATCTTACTCATCTCATAACTAGTATTTCTTAGTTTACTAGAGATGAACTTAAAAAAAACAACTAAAAAAACTATTAGAGATAAAGAATCATTAGAGAGTAATAATTTACCTAGAGCATAGATTATAACTCTCTAATGGTTCTTTATTTACATACCTTGTGTTTGTTCATATTCATTTCTACTTGTACACAATAGTTGAATAATTTATTTCCAAGTAAATAATTAAATAACAATTTAAAAAATTAACATGATATTTATAATAATATATAGCAATCAAATTCGAAATATAAATTTGCAAACCTTTTTAAATGTATATTTAAATCACTCTATAAAAGAATGAAGAACTTGAAAGTATAAAAGACCTATCTCTATTTAAATATAGAAAATAATTTTAAAATGTTAAATATATAAATTAGAGTAATATATAAATATTTCCATTTACAATTATGTTTTATAATATTGATTTTTTTTTTTTTTGCATTTAGGAGCACCGAAGTACTAATGGGTGAAGGGAAAATTGATTTTCCTTGTTTGGCAGACTGTGGCTCTTTTTTTCATATTGAAACATTAAAGGTAATTGTTGAGATATAATTGGAAGTTTCCAACCACAGCATCTTCAGTTTACCATACCAGTAAAAAGAAACCAGTCAACATTTCACAACAGAAAATACAAGATCATGTATGTGCAGAATAAATACAGCACATCTCACATCAGCAGCCACTACTAGTGACAATTCATTTCTTAATTATGCTTAAACGCACAGTTAATGTTTTCTGTCCTAATGATGCCTGAAATGGTGAAATGTCGATTGCTTAGTTTTTACCAATACTTTAGAGACTCAAAGCTTTGTGGTTGATATCTTCCAATTATATCCTAACAATTAATTTGTACATCATTATGAGTTTTTGCTTTTTTAATATTAATTGAAGTAATTGTATTAATTTATGGCACTTGTACTGTTTTGTTACATTGTACAATAACAATGCATTTGAATGACAATATGACTGTTGTGGAAAAAAGCATTTAAAGGGTAGACTAATTATAGGTTATGGAGCTTCTGTGTTCGCAATTTCAGATTCCCTCACTGAGAGATTTGAAAAAACATAAGAAGGAAATACTTTTGCAGTCTGAATGGCCTACAACCCTGAAACTCAATATAACTTCATGAAGGCGCAAGCATTAGGAAATGTAGAAATCCACGACCCACCTTAGACTCACATATCTTTTTTCAATTTATTGACCTAAAACTAAAGTCGCTATTGAGGTTTTACACTATTTTTATTTTCGAATCATATATTTTTCATTCTATTGATCGATTTCTGGATTAAAAACAACATTTCTTAAACAATACTAATATTAATACTGAAAAAAGTATTGTATCATGATAATTTAATGTAACTTTTTTTGTATTATCAGTTCCATCTCGAGCTATTTCAGTCAACACATTACAAGTCCCCATCAATCGAATAAAACATAAGATTTGAGCTCTCTATAATGGACCAGAGTATATTTTTGAGTCATCTTTACAGCTAACTACTCGAGAATCTGGTTGACTACTAGAATAATTGTGCATCAATTCTGAAGCTGTTAGTCCCTCAGATTTTTGTACAGCATTATTGATGGCTAATCATCCTCCCTCCTCCTCCCACTCATCTCATTTTTCTACTTTTGTTTTACATTTTATCTTGTTTTTATCCCATGAAAAATGTAAGTTAATTGATCAGACTCTAAATATAATGCATGAAAAAGAATTAATTTATTGGCATTAAAAATAACACAACAGATTTTTAGTACATGTCAAGGTTCTGTATATTGCATTCCAATCAGTATCAAGTTGTCATGCGGGAATTAGTCTGACTCAAGGTGTCAACAACTGTAATTAATAATAAATACAACAAGTAAATATGAACAAGTAATATAACATGTACAACATGAGGAGAAACTACCCATTGGTAGCACTCCAATTATATTTCTATGTTAGAAAGTCCCGAGGCCATCTTCTTTTTAGACGCCTCGGAGGGTTATCAGGAATAGAAGAGGAAGCAAGGTTGGAAACGAGAGGGTTCGGATGGTTCAGAAGTTTATTATGAAAGGACAGGTATCTGGATTGAGCTAAATCGGAAACATATGGTACATTAAGATCATTATGGATGATTTTATTTATGACAAAGTAGGGAGCATTAAGGATTTTAGGAAGGATTTTGGATTGTAGGGATTGGATAAGAGAGGAATTTGTTGGTTTAGTAGAGCCCCAAAGCTCGATCCCAAGACTCAAGGTTAGATCAGTATCGCACTGAGGATTCCTGTTCTAATAGTTTTGCAATATTGAATTTTAACTTTCTATCCTATGTTTGCTGCAACTTATTATCTTATTATATATCTTGCTATTACTTATTAGCCTTTATCTGTTATCGTTAGTCTCCTGATCGAGACTGCTGTCTAATTGTTGAGAAGTAATAGATTTCTCAATCCAGCATTGCATTGAAGTTCCCAGCTATATTTTATATGCCATTATTTGAAATGAAATGAAATGAAAAAATAATTTTATTCTGGAACTACTTTCCCCTAAGAATAATAACAGAGTTACAAATTCAGGGGTCTTCGTCTGACATAATAATAAAAATACAAAATAATTTACTGTTAATTGTTATTTCAATTGTGCAATAGATTGAAATTAAACAGTGTACAGATGCAAGTAATTTTACATGTTAGCAGAAGTTTGAATGTGGAGTAGCTGATGGAACAGGAGTTACTTGAAGGAATTTGTGGACGAGAATTGACAAATGGAGGTAGGAAGTGAGTTTCATAAGGAAGCAGCATGAATGACGAAGGATTTTCTGAAGGAAGAAGTTTTATGGGAGGAGATATATAAGTCTATAGGTTGAGACCTAGTATTGAGAGAGTGGATAGAGTAAGGAGTTCCAGGATGTGGGGAGGGTTTTTGGTTCCGAAGACTTGGAAAAGGAAAACACCAAGGAGGAATTGTTGTCGGGAAGTAGGATAAAGCAACTTCAACTCGGTGTACCAGAGTGAAACATGTGATCGCCTGGGGATCCCAAAAATGTATCTTATGAAACAATTCATAAGTCTCTTCAGTCTCATTTCTAGCCTGGCAGATAACCCTCCATACACCAAACAGCCGTAGTCGAAGAGGGGGAATGCAAGGGAGGTTACAAGGAGCTGTCTGGTTTTTAGAGGAATACAATCACGGAATCTTAGGAGTTGTTTAAGGGCAGCTATGGATTTTCAGGTAACCTTTGTAATAATATATTACATAATAATACCTAGTAACCTTTGTAATAAATTGGCACCTTTGTACGAAAAATGGAAGATACGAAGCAAACAAGGCAATTTACTTTACGTTTTAGAGGATCTGCAAGGTCGTCCTTTAGGAACTTGGCATATCAAAGATTTGAAACCTCATCTAACATAACCTTCACATTTTACTCCTAATTTTTTTCAGTAAGAAGGAGGAGAGTTTGTGACGAAAAATAAAATACAAAAAAAAAATTAGTTTGTAAAATAATTTTTAGTTGTTATAAATAATAATAAGTTTTTTTTTATTAACTCGAAGAAGGTTAAATATAAAATTAAGTATTTAGTATTAGTTTTAATAATAAGTAATTGTTTATAATAAGTCTTAGTTTTAAATATCAGTTGTAAATATTATTTTCATGTCAGTATAAAAGCCAACAGCTGATTGGGAGGAAAAACAAAAGACAGTTGAGAGAGAGATGGCGGAACCTTGCGAGTGTTGAGGCAGGCTAAAGTGGACCCAACACGTTCATTTGGAATTGCATTCTGAGGCGCTAATGACGTTCAGAATTATCGTGTAAGGTAGTGAATGAAGTACTGATGGTGGTGTGTGCCGGATTTCCGAACATCCGGAAATCAAAGGTTCATTCAGGAGAAGTGGAGGGGGACTGAGGTAAAAGTAGTGGGGGGACTAACCATACTACTGGATAGGTTAGGTTACCTAGGCCTCACAACCATTATAAATTTCTGATTTTCATTATAAGTAAATAGTTAAATAATTTTTCATATCCCTTGTTTATATTTTTAAACCATCTTCAACTATTTCTTTTAAATAGTCAAGTGGGCAACAAATTAAAAAAAAAGTGGAAACTTCACAATTTACTTTAAGAAAAAAAAAATCTTTAACTGTTGTGTATATTTGTCAGTTCTTTTCCCATTTTCCTCAACAAATTTATTATTTTCGCAATACCTTTCCTTAATTTTTGTAAGTAGTAGACTTATATTTTACTAACTTTTGTCAAAACGATTTTCTATGAGACTAACCTTACTACTAGATAGGTTAGTTTACCTAGGTCTCGTTTTTAAGTAAATAATTTCATAAAAGTAAATAGTTGTTTATATCCCTAGTTTATGTTTTTATTAACCATTTTCAACTATTTTTTCTTTAAATAGTCAAGTAGGCAATAAATTGAAAAAAAAAAAGTGGAATCTTCACAATTTACTTATAGAGAAAAAATCTTTAGCTGTTGTGTTTATTTGTCATTAATTTTTCCATTTTTCTTAACAAATTGATTATTTTCGCAATACTTTTCCTAAACTTTTGTATGTAGTTGACTTTTATATTTTTCTAACTTTGGTCTAAACGATTTTCAGGCACTAGGATGTAATTATTATATCTCCATTTTGCTCTTGATGCCCAATATTATAAATGACAATGTCCAAATAAGCAAACCTATGCTGTTTCTTTGTTTACAACTGAGCTAAATTGGCTTCAGCAATGATAAGTAATGATCAGTAATGATTGAATGTGTAAGGGTCTTCATGACCAAAGCGATTCCGAGCAGTCTTTGCCATTCTTGTGACGTTCATTTATGAATTACCTGTAGGATTTAGTTGTGTGAAATAATTAAATTTTATGGTGTACACCGGATTTTCTTTTCCTATCCATGAACCTGTGATTATCAGCGACGAGTGCCGTTTGATTTTACAAGTTGGTGAATGAACATTTCCACAGCTTGAGGAGATAGACTGGGGAGACCGTGATGACGCTAGTTCAAATAATATCCCGATTCCTCAGATACGAACAGTGTACCAATTGGACAGAGTTGAACCAGTGAGGTATTGTAAATATGTACATTAAGTTTTTTTTCTACCTATTACCCCCCCCCAAATATTTGTAATTGGTTTGTTGTATAGTCGTAAGTTAATGTTTAGTTCTATAATAATTTTATATTCTTTTTTTATAATTAAAGTTAATTGTATTTTCTTTGTTTTCTTATAAATCTAATTTCTTGTTCATAATTTTCATTCCTTTAACAGTTTATTTAAATCAGTAGAAATAGGTAAATTCATCATTAGTATTAACAATAGCTAGTTTTATTTTCTTATTTTTCGTTAGTTTGTTTTCACGTTTTATGTATATTATATTCTTTTTTTTTTAAGGTTTAATAAGAAATTGTAAAACCCTATTCGAGGGATTAGGGAAAGTCATTATTAACCAAGTAAGAAGGTTCGATAGGTTATGAGGTTCATTAACATATGTTTTTAAACCCATAGATTCCGAGTTCGTAGCTCACTCCGCGTCCTAATCTTTTTTTTTTTTAATTAAATTTATTTATTTTTATGGTTAGGCTATTTTCCAAATTCAACCAATTAAATAGCGTGGCGCCTGTTATATAGTTATTTATATTTAATTGACTCTTGATTATTTATTTTTTTTTGCAAACCCTGCCGTTTCCACTGAGCATCCGGCAAGTTTGTTGCGGAAACGATTTTTTCTAAATTAAAGACCGTAACACTCGGTCTTCGTGCTTCATCTTGAATCCGGTTTTTCTGGTGTCTGGATTTGAGATTCTTGTAAATTTGGCATCCTTTGTAGTTAGCCAGGCGTCCCTCCAGGCATAGTGCACACACTGCAGGATCTTGTATCGGTTTGGTGCACTCCACAGATTTGTGCTGTTCACCGCATTTCACGCTACGTGGCAGATGATAAATATATTATTAAAAAAAAATACCCTTAACTCGAATGATACATACTCCTTGATTTATAGCTTTGATAATTATCATTATAATGAGACTTCTGAATTTCCTGCTGACCATGAACCCTACACCAAATGCATTTTTTTTTCAAGGCAAGTCTAGTGTTCAGGAATCTATCCCTTCGGATGCTTCAGAGGGTTATCAGGAAATGAAGAGGAACCAAGGTTCGAGACAAGAGGGTTCATATGGTTGTAAAGTTTATTACTGGAGGATAAATATCTAGATTGGGCCAAATAGGCAATTTAAGAAACATTAATGTCATTATAGATAGTTTTATTTATGACAAAGCAAGGAGCATTGAGAATTTTAGGAAGGATTGTATTCCATTGTTTTGGATTATAAAGATTGGATACAAGAGGAAATATAGAGTTTTTCCTTCTAAATTAAAAACAAATTATTTTAATGTATTATTACTTACCTATCTCTGCTATTTTTTTATAGGCTGTAATGGAAAATGCAACACATGAAAAACTTCTTAAAAAACTCCAAGAGAGGGAAATAGCTCAAGCTAATATTCCTGGGCTTGAAAGTTGCCCATTTTGTGAATATAGTGTTATTCCAGACCCTGCTAGTCGAATTTTTGAATGTCTCAGCTGTAAAAAGTCTTCCTGCAGGTAATTATATTTATTTACCTAAAGTTTCATCAACATATGGTCAATATGAGGATAGCTGTAAAAATATATTGTTTTAAAAATATATTACAAATGAAGGAAGGAGATGATCCAGGGTGGCGGTCATAAATAGGCTGAATATTGGCAAAACTATTTTATTAAAAACCAACGTTTCGACCCGACTTTGCAGGTCTTCTTCAGGGAGATGTGTTCAGCTAGGAGTTTCACTTAGAACTGGAAAGTGAGTTCTAAGTGGAACTTGTAGCTGAACATACCTCTCTGAAGAAGACTTGCAAAGTCGGGTCGAAACGTTGGCTTTTAATAAAATAGTTTTGCTACTATTTAGCCTATTTATGACCACCACCCCGGACCATCTCCTTCCTTTATAATGCAACGGTCAACTATTAAATATTCAATATTAAAAATGGTTTGAATTTCCCACGTTATGGCAAGTGGTGGGGGCAGATCAGAAGATCTAAAAGATAACACTTAATCCGCAAGAGCTGCCGTTTCTCAGCCCATACTACCACTGGTAGCCACCCAGACAGCATCTGCTATGAGGGCGCCCTCAGGTAACCAATAGATGTAAGTCGACATAAGTATGGTAAACTATTTTTGTACAATCAGTATAACCTACCAATCTCTTAAAGTACAGTCCATTGCATAAAAGTAGAATGTTGCCGATAATTTTGAATGTTGCCTATTAGGAACTCATGAGAGTTATTTGCCTTGCCTTAATTTGAAAATTTGCCTAAACATTTTGGTCCACCGGACGCGATTAAATGTTTTTTTTTTTTGGCATATTAGCGTTGTTTTGCCTATGTAAAGGAGGAAAATTGCCTGGTAGGTTATGAGAGGTTATATAAAGATCGTCTGTTTCCAGACTGATATTCTTATTTCACCTATTGACCACGTTTTTCAAAAATATAACTTAACTAATAAAAGGCCTGCTTTACTGAACTTTGTATAAAATTGGGTTTTGCCTTCAGCTATTAAAATTTAATTTTGAATAAAATTGGGTTTTGCCTTCAGCAATTGAAATTTGAATTGAATTTTTAATTTTTATTTTTTTTTTATTTTACAAAAAAAAAAAAAATAAATAAAATTTCACACGGGTGGCGGATGTGGGGATGGTCGGTGGAAATTCCTTGGAAGTTCCTCCCGGCTAAGTCCGATGGACTCGCTGACCAACAATGAGAGGGGCCCTCCAGACTTGCTGGAGGTAGGGGCCCACCAGACTTGCTGGAGGGTGTGACGTAGGATTGAACGCCCTACTCACATATCTTTAGTTCACCAAACACCACAAAAAGTCATGGATCTTCCTAAGGTAAAACGCTCATTATCCGGAGGTAAACTAGTCCCCCGTTCGGGTCTCCGGGTGGGGACTGCTTTAGGGGATTCATTTAGTGGGTTGTTTGGGGAGGCTCTGGCCCTACATGTAACATACATTTCAAAACACCTCCGGACTACCGTCTATCATTCATTATATTATCCGGAGGTAAACTAGTCCCCCGTTCGGGTCTCCGGGTGGAGACTGCTTTAGGGGATTCATGGCACAAGTTGAAATATAGGGATTTAAATATTGGTACGTGGAACGTAAGGAGTTTAAACACAGCAGGGGGGCTAAAATCGGTCGCGAATGAGGTAAATGGGTACAATTTGGATGTCGTGGCTCTGCAAGAGGTTCGCTGGCCAGGGGAGGGCTCGATGAGGGAAGGAAAGTACACTATTTGGTACGGAGGAAGCGGGAATCATTGTTTAGGTACCGGGTTTCTAATTAGGAGTAGATTACTATCCGCTTTGAGGGACGTACAATTCTTTAGTGATAGAATTTCGGTAGCTATATTTCAGAGACGTTGGTTTGAAATCGCATTAATAAACATACATTGTCCGACCGAAGACAGTGACGATGAAGTCAAAAGTGAATTTTACGATAAACTCGAATGGGTTTATGATAAACTACCGCGAAACTACATGAAAATGATTGTAGGTGACGCGAACGCAAAGGTAGGAAGGGAATAAGTTTATATTCTGACGATTGGTAAAGAAAGTTTGCACGAATATAGTAATGATAATGGGATCCGTCTGATAAACTTTGCCATCTCGAAAAACCTGATAATTAAAAGTACGACGTTTAAACATAAGGATATTCATAAATATACTTGGACATCACCGGATTCGCAAACACGAAATCAAATCGATCATGTCTTGATACAACACAGCTGGCAAAGCAGTATAATCAATGTACGGTCTTATCGCGGAGCAGAATGTGGGTCGGATCATGAATTGGTAATCGCGAAACTTCGACAAAAACTTAATATAAAAAAGAGAAAAGAAAACCGGTTCGATTTTGAGAATTTTAATTTGGAAAAATTAAAAAATCCATCAATTAGAAACCAATTCGAGCTAGATGTTAAGAATAGGTTTGAAGCTTTAGAGCTTCCTGACGAGGACCACGAGGATATTGACAAGTTATGGGTAGAGATCAGGGATAATATTAAAGCGGTCGGTAACTCGTGTCTAGGAAAAAAGGAAAATAAGAATAACAAACCGTGGTTTGATGAAGATTGCTTAAACATGTGTGAAAAAAGAAAAGCCGCTAAATTAAAAGCTCTAAATAATCCTAGCGAAGACAATCTGGAATACTTCCGAATCTCAAAGAACGAAACGACAAAATTGCTCAAAAATAAAAAAAGGGAGTATCTTAAAAATAAAATAATTGAAATAGAAACTAATAGAATCGAAAATAACGTAAGAGACATGTACAAAGGTATAAACAGATCACGTAAATATGTAGGGCCCGTAACGTCTGGAATTAGGGATGATAATAACAATATTCTGACCGATCCGGTTGACATATTGAATAAGTTTAAGGACCACTTTGACAATATTTTAAATACGGGAAATTATGATCTGTGTCCTCCTTCTGAGTACCAGAGTGCTGAACCGTTAATAGAAGGACCAAGTAAAGAGGAAGTTGAAGTAGCTATCGGAAAATTAAAATCATATAAAGCAGCGGGAACCGATAATATTCTTACTGAACTAATTAAGGCATGCGGGGAAGCTGGAGTTTCTAAAATACATCGGTTGGTTAAAAAGATCTGGGTGAACGAGAAATTACCTGAAGAATGGAAAGAATCTATTCTTATTCCGATTCACAAAAAGGGTCCGAGGACGGATTGTAATAACTATCGAGGAATTTCACTCCTTCCGGTATGTTATAAAATATTCACTTTAATCTTAACCAGTCGAATCACGGAATACGCCGAGGAAATTATCGGAGAATACCAATGCGGATTTAGACGGAATCGTTCGACTATTGATCAAATATTTTCTTTACGGCAAATATTAGAGAAAAAATTGGAGTATAACGGTATTGTTCACCAGCTGTATATAGATTTTAAAAAGGCTTACGATTCTATTGACCGCCAGAAACTGTATAATATTCTAATCGAGCAGGGGATTCCAAAAAAACTAGTAAATCTAGTCAGGATGTGCTTGACGGAGACACTCAATAAAGTTAGAATCGGTAATAATTTGTCCGAAAAATTTGAGGTTCGTTCGGGCTTAAAACAGGGGGATTCTCTTTCGCCTGTCCTGTTCAATTTGGCATTAGAACATGCCATTAGGGAGGTAATGCGAACCGAGAAAGGGTTGGATCTGGGCGGGACAACATCCGTGCTGGGCTATGCTGATGATCTGGTACTGTTAAGCGAAGACGTTGAAACTATAAAACTAAATACGACAACGTTAATGAAAGCCGGTAAAGAACTAGGACTCGAAATAAACGTGGATAAAACAAAATATATGGTTAGCTGCAAAAATGGCGATACTACTGGTGATATCGATATAGATGGTAATATGTTTGAACAGGTAGATAAATTTAGGTATCTAGGTTCTACGATAACTAGAAAGAACGAAATGGAAGAGGAGATTAAGGTTAGACTGAAGGCGGGAAATTGTTATTTTTTTATTGTTATTTTTCTGTGACAAAACTACTTAGTTCGCGCCTCTTGTCCCGGAACTTAAAAATTAAAATCTATAAAACAATTATCTTGCCTACAGTTCTTTATGGATGCGAAACTTGGCCGCTTACATTAAGGGATGAGCAGCGTCTTAAGGTTTTTGAAAATAAAGTATTGCGTAGAATATTCGGACCGAAGAAGGATGAGTTAACCGGAGAGTTCAGACGGTTACACAACGCCGAATTGCGTGAGCTGTATCCGGGTAATATAATTGAGGTAATTTCATCGCGGCGAATCAAATGGGCTTGTAAAGTTGTTGGGCTTAGTAACGAGAGAATTCCTAAAAGGTTAATATCTGCTGTGTCGAATGGTAAGCGTCCGAGGGGTAGACCGAAGCGAAGGTGGGAAGATTGCATTAAAGCTGATCTGAAGGAACTGGGTTTGGACGGCGAACGGTGGAGGGAGGTGTGTAACAAGCGATTGGTGGTGTCGGCATCGAACCTTCGGCTTCGCTAAGCCTTATTATTATTATTATTATTATTATTTTATTTTACAAATTTGAGGATGGCGCCAACTAAGAGTACTGAGGGACTTAAAGCTATAAATGATAGAAAGGAAAGGATGTTTCTTCGAATTCAAACCACATTCGATATGATTAAGGGTCTCCCTGCTAGAAAGGAAATATTTATGGTTAGGGATTCAGAAATTAAAGCACAACTGAAGGAATTTGAAGCGGTGTTGAACAAGATTTCCGTGCTAAATGAATCATTAGATGAAGAACATAGGATAGAAGTAAATACACCATCTTTAGCAGCGGAGGAACTTTATTATGAGATAAAAGTTGCTCACGAGAAATTAATTAAAGCTGAGCACATAGTTCCCGCTTCTCAACCTATGTCTGAACCAGTAGCGTACCCTAAATTGCCAGATTTACAAATTCCTCAATTTTCCGGTCAGTACGTACAATTTCCTTCATTTAAATCATTATTTGATGCCTTAATTCATTATCAAAATTACACAGATATAGTAAAGTTTTCA